AAATAAACCACCGAGCACATAGCGGTAAAATATTATTTAGGACTTGAAGCACTGGATATTTGTAACAAAAACATATATCCCAATATTTATATTCCCCTAAAAGTGCTATGCACTTTACCGGTATCAACATCTTTACCTGAACGTATGTTTTCAACTCTGAAAAGAGTGAAAACATATTAAAGAAGTAAGAACACAATGTCTGAGGTTTGAACTTTAATATATTCAATACCTATTTATATGATAGAGATTATATTTAAGTATTTTATTTAATTCTTTACTGTTTATTCCACAGAATCGATTAAATGGCCTCGCTATGTTGGCCATTCATAAAAATATAACATTTGACCCTGAAGAAGTAATTAACGAATTAGTATTAAAGCCACATAGAGTGGATCTTTTATTGTGATCAAAGCATAAACTGTAACTGTTTGGCATTTAACTGTTATAAAGATACCAATAAGACAATAAAGTATAATACCTATTCAGTATTTGTAAATGTGAATATTTTGTGATATATATTCATGTCTCATGTGTACATAAATATATTGCACTGAAAGGTGCTTATAATAAATACTTTTTTATTTTTTTTTTTTTGTGGGTGGAGGGAGGGGGTAAAATGTTAATACATTTCATCTCCCCCCCCTCCCGCAAACATGACCAAATTACGCCACTAGATCCCGTAGGGGAATCTGGTAAGAATCTTATAACCATAATTTTCAATTTTGAACAATATTATATTATTATAATATTATATTTTGTTGTCATGGATATTAAATGTTTGAATGTTTATTTATCCATCCGATTTGAATTTTGTATTAGTTTATATTTCGTCGAGACATTTCTCTTGGTATTGTATTTTTTGTATACCTATAATATATTATATACAATTTCTAAATTGAAATTATGGAAAATCCTAATGAGAAAAACGACGTTACTACGCCAAGACGTTCAGATAGTCCGGCCGTAGAGTGCTTGCAGCAGTGCGAGCATCGCACCCGTAGTGAATTAAATAATTCGTCGGAAAACATTGAACACGGGGTGGACGACGTTGCATGCACGTTAGCAGATCAAGAATACATGGATGACAACCCACCGAGACGGAAAATCGTGTGCGCAATCAGTGAGCTTCGTGATCAAGAACCAAACACGACTTCATTGACTTCGTCGGAATTCAAAGTGTTGGACGAGCTGACTGAAGAGTTACTGGTGGCCTCCGTTCGGAGGTCCTTAAATTTACCACCCGTCTCTCTAAATCCGAATCACGAACAGTCATGGTCAAGTTCGTGTGCTGAAAGCATTGCGTCATCAGATCTGAAAAAGTGGCTTATTATACCGTCAGTTTTGGACGAGTTGTTAGAGTTCGACGAAGTTTCGAAAGAAATTTCCAAACCCAAAAATGACTACGGTAAACATCTTCCGCCATTGCCGTCGTGCTTCAGCAGTGTGCCGAAAAAACTGAAAAAAAAAAGAAAAAAGAAACACTTAGCACCGATAATAACGCATACTGAAGAGAGTAACTATGTGGCACCAGACCATTTTTCGGATAAAGTACAAATTTTAACAACGACCAACAACCAGCGACCGTCAGTAGGAGATAGTGAACCGGTGGTCCCGGAGGTCAAGAAACCAATTCTCTCTGAAAAATTTCGAAAATTTCAAAAATTTTACTCTGAATTAATTGAAGAAGATACCAAATATTTTTCAGAAAACCTCTCACAGGTTACTCAACTTATTGAAAAAGAGGTAACAGAAAAGATTGATACTCCGGATCAATTGTTAGATGTAGCGGCCGATGACAACGTCATAGTTCCGGATGTGAATGTCAAAAGCACAGCAATTAAATCTGTAGCTGTGGTCAGAAGTGACGATGATGGCCAGCAACTTGCGATGATGACTACTGTACAATCAGAAGATGAACAGGTTGAAGAAGATATAAATTCACAGGCTTGCACGCATTCGCCAACTGCAATGTTCACGGCAGTAGTCAAAAGTTCGGAGACCCAAAACATTGATACTCCGGTTCAATTGTTAGATGTAGCGGCCGATGACAACGTCATAGTTCCGGATGTGAGTGTCGAAAACACAGCTATTGAATCTGTAGCCGTGGTCAGAAGTGACGATGATGGTCAGCCGCCTGCAGAGATGGCTACTGTAAAGTCAGAAGTTAAGCAGGTTGATGAGGAGATAGAATCACTCGCAGAGATGTCTACGGTGAAGTCTGCAGCAGCAGCATCGACAGAGCAACCGCGGCAAGGGCGTCGTATGTCGTTTATGTCAGCCCTGGGGAGGAGACTCCTGAAGGTTGGCAGGATGTGTTGCTGCTTCTGTTGTCCCGACAATATTTAGTGTGGTACACGGGCGCCCGTCCCCTCCCACCTTCGTTAATACTGTTCGACCCTCTCTACCCGCCGGAAGTCGCCACCGCTGCCAACCAGTTTTTCGCTGACCTTGTGTCCCATCGCAGCCGCGTGTTAACGTCTCCGTTACTGCTATACTTGGCTATGAAGGATGTTTGCAGGAGCACGTATATCGTCGTCAACAACGACGACGATAGGGTACATTTGGTCGACAGTAGAATTTCGAGTTGACAGCTTTGACAACGAGGTAATATACCCACCGCTTGTGTGTAGTTGCGCAATCGGAGTTGTGCGTCGCGTGCAAAACGCGCCCACTCGTTAGCGATTAGTACTTTTTTTTTATAATCTTATAATACAGGAATATGTTTGAACACCATTACCCTCCAAAAGCTAAATATAACACCGCCTACAGTTTGCAATAAATAAGTCACAGGAGACATACTTTTAACAATAGTACCCCTAAACTACTTATCCCCACAGTCATAATTCTGGAATATGACAGTATCCTCAATTTCAAACATTTTCACTCTACCCCCTTTATACGCTTTCTTAACCGTCAAAATAAGCTGGAGTAGTACCAGTATCACAATGTTTAGTATATTTTTGATAGTTTAGCTATTGTAAGACAACAAAAATTTGGCAAATTTTTGTATTTGACTTCATGCCATTTCCCTTTAAAAAATTCTTAAAAGTTCCAACCAAACTTTTAGCTGCCCCATTAGATGCAGGATTATATAAATATATGTCTTAATATGGAAAATTCCATTCTTGGTCAAAAATGCCTCCATTATTTATAAGATAATTAAGGACCATTAACCGTCACTAACTTGGCAGGTATACCCAGAGTGAAAAGTATTCACGCAAAATCTTGATGGTCGCTTCAGGAACAATATTACTCATATATCTCACATATATCGTCATATTATTACGTCCGTCGTTTTCCGTCGACAACTCTAGTTTTAAAAAAAATTTAACAACAGTTGTTACTTTAACTTTTTTACGCTCGCGGTTTTTGTTAAATTTTCCCGCCAACCATTCCTGACAGTACAGTCTGTAACAATATAAATGTTGATAAATGTATCAAATTATTGTATGTACATGTACAATGTATTTAATTGTTCAAAAATGTGTTTCATATCGTTATTTATATAAAATAAAAATTTGTTATAAACAGAATACTTGTTGTTCATTCAATCGACTGGTTTATGCATTACATAAAACAATTAAAATGCATTGATTCTAATAATCTATTCTATAATACCTAAAATATTTAATTAAAATACAGATCGACTGTTTAAAATGAGGTAGCAGTTTTTTAGTGAATTTGAAAAGGTTTAGAATGAAAACAAGATTTAATGTACTCATATATTTTGTAAATATACTGTCGATATTCCGACAACGCAACAACCCCCGAATGAACACTGAATGTTGTCTCGTTTGGGTTTTGAGATACTTAGGTTAATAAGGCTAATCAAAATATATAGATTTATCCAACCTTAATATTTCTTCAGTCCATCCCCTTGTTCTTGCCTCTATAATTGATGATTGACGAATAACTTGATACACGGTTGTCAATAGTTGTTAACGCAGTGTATTACCTGTGACTAAAATAATCGTTTATCAAATATATCTGTTCTTAATATTAATGATCAAACAATGATATGTGATTAATAATAAAATTTAGAAATGTTTAACAATTACGTCACACAGTAGCGTATTTTTGATGACAATGCGTCGTGTACTGCATACAAGTAGATAGTCAGAAAAATGTCATCGTTCTGTATTACTACATATGATAGCGCACGTACAACTTAACTCCGTTTACTGCGTAATGTAGTATAAAAAAAATAACAGAATATGTAGTTAATAAATAAATAACTGGGTAGTGAATTAGACTTGATATTTGAACTTATAAGTACTAGATTTATACAAGTATTGTACAATATGACACGATATTCTGCTTGAAGACAGACTGCAAGCACAGGATTGACCCACGGTAATTTTTATATTTTAACCCTTTTGAGATTCGGTGTCGTCTTTTGTTATTAATGTTGTATTATTAACATAAATAAATGACGTCTTATTTTATACTTAAAAATGTTGAATGAAAAATGTAATTCAGAGTAAAAATTTAAACTATTACCTCGGCCAACGTCGAGAATATACTTGATAAAGATAGTATTTGTCACCGATGACAAAAATGTCATTTCAGAGTTTCGATCGATAGGATGGCTTGTGCGAGCTATGGACAACTGCAGTATCCGGACCAGTTTGCACGGCTTCAACGACTGTAGTAGGTATACATAAGCAGTATGTGATAAAATAGAGTGCTGTGGTTGGTTGTAGATTTATTAAGTTTTTAGTATATTAAAATACGTTTTTAAACATAAATTTAATAAAAAAACTTTAATTTTACTATGAAAAAACAATGGAGCATAATAAAACATGTTAATTCTTGTTTTATTTTTGTGCAGAAAACGCGCCCGTAATGATGATATAAATGAAAAATATTAATTCATTGTGCATTATTACTACCAATACAGTCATATTTTTTTCTGATTGGTATGAAAAAATATAAATATGAGTAATAAAAAATATATGCACAACAATAATAAAACAAATTATATAATTTAATGCATACATTCGTCTTGAACAATAAATACTTTTTTTTATTCGTATGGTTATTATATGTCATATTTTATTGTTAATCAATAAGTCAAACACGGGAGATATCGGACAAATATAACCGTGACAGTAGTATAGCTAAATTGCCTATCCACAACGCCGTGTATTCATAACGATAATATTGAAATACAAGAAGAAAAAAATCTAACGACATTACATAAAAATATAAAAGTCACTTTGCAACACCATATACACCAAACCTACAATAATAGATTATTACCCTTGGGTTTTAATACAGTTATAGTATTCAGTATAGCACATAATGTTTAAAAACGTGAAAACTATTCGTTCAAATCTCGATTTGAATTCATCCAATATCTTCAATACAATCATCTGCTTAAAAATTATTTCTTATTTAAAATACTTAAATAAAATAATAAAATTTCATAAATTTAATGTAATATGGTCTCTGGTACCTTGAAAGTTCTTAAAACCGTAATTTAAATAAATACGTAGTTTCAGGATAAAATGGGAATGAACACAGTGCGCGCTTGATGCCTTGATGAATCATCCTGATTACGAAGACGAGAACGCCATTGATGAATGGTTGACACCTCTTAAACCGACCACCTTAGATGGTTTTTGTAGACTAAACTCTTCAAGCTGTCGTAATTTTATCATGAACATCTCTAGAATATTAGAAGTGTCATTATTGTGTCAATATCACGTCACATCAAATTCATTTTGATAATAATTTTTTTTTTTGTGCGTAGGTACAGACGAATTATCTTTTTTTTTATTTATTAAATATAATACTTACCATTTTTATGACAATATTTTTAAACAACAGTTTGATTTACAGATATTTTTTATACTGTGGAAGATTATGCAATAGCCAATAAATAATATAATTCAATTTTTTTTTAAGACGTCAAATTTATAAGGAAGTATACGAAAATATACTATGTGGAATGTAGATATAGTAGTATTGAATATTCATACACCAATTATTAACTTTAAATAAGTAACTTAAATACTTAATAAAAAATGATCTCGTTTATTCAATGTGTAAAGTTTAAAACATTAAACCGTGTTTTAGTATTTACCTATTAACATTAAATAAAATGTTCTACTACACATAACATATATCATTTTATTTATCATCTTTATCTAATTTATAATATTATTTCTTCTTATTGTTGTTGTCGGTAGATTAGTTAAGTTTGAATTATATTTTTTATAGCCGCGGTAAAACTTATGTTTATACTGAGGGTTAGGCAGGCTTACGTCCCTATATATATTTTTGAAAAGAAAATGTGTTAACACGTTTTTATCTATCTGCGGTATATAATGCTGTCCAACAAATATATCCTCCCCGTGAATTCCCGACCATTGGCTATAGTATAGGTACTGAAATTCAAGTATACCTATAAGCCCGTTATCGTCACGTAAAACAAAAGTTTAGTCAGAAGTGTGTCGTTATCGACTGCACATTACTGCACGCGTTGTGTTTCGACTATGAAATTTTAGTTCAGCGAGTGTAGGTATTATACGTGTAGGTACCTATTAAATTTAATACTATTTATACGACTGATTTGAAGTATTTTGTTCCGGTATCGTATCGTTATTTACACGATTGTCGTTTTTCTTTAATATCATATCGTTGGTTGCCTATTTAATAGCGACTCGTATGGAATAAGATGGCCGGTACAGCATAAAATTACAAAAAAACTTTACGATGCACCATGCACATTGCACATACAAAATAAGTGCTCAAATATATAATGTATAAATATATTCTATAGCAATGTATACTCGTCGCAGATTACCAGCTATATTCATCAATCGACGCCATCTATAAAATGACGAAATGTAACACTTTTTATCACATATTTAGGTACCCACTATCGTTATAAATTATAATAATATCATCAATTACGCGTCTCTTGCAGGCTTTAAAAGCCACGGCGTCGTATTTGCGATATGACCTACGAAAGACCAATAATAATAAATAATGATTGATGTATATTATCATTATTTTATCGAGCCGCAACATATGCAATAATCGAGTAAAATAATTTTTAGTCGACGCGAGTCCTGTTTACGGAAACGTATTTTTTCACAACTCGTTTAACAGTAGGTATATCATTATTTTTGCATTATAACTTAATAGGCGTTTACTATACATGTTGATTTAAATCGATCGCAGTTAAAGGCTAAACATGTAATATTACACAAAGCAGTAAGTATAATAAATTATACATATGCATTAAACCCATGCACGCAAGCCTGCGCGTTAAAAATAAACGTTTTATAAACATATTATAATGAACACGGTTTTAATTATTTGTTTGTATTAAACTGTAAAAAATTATAGTTAAACCAATATACTCGCGATTATTTCTCGATGAACAGCCAAAAGTTCGAATTCCGAACATTAGGTGGCTTACGGTAATATTATACAATCTTAAAATTGTTGCAAAAGCAGAGCAATATTGATCAATAACGGAAGACCGCAACATTTGTATTATATTAATATTATAAATAATATGTTTAAAATCCATGGTTTGTCAATAACTATTACAATATTATTTAATTTCTCTTTGCGGGCGTCCTTCACGAATTTACCATCGATAATTATAAAGATTTTATTATCCCCTCCACCCCCCTCCCCAATTTATATTTATTTAGTATTCCGTATAGGCATAGTAATTACTAATTAGTATCAATACAAAGAGTAACTCCTAATAACGTTTTTCGTTGCATAATAGTAAGTTATTGTTTCAATATGGACGATCGATCGATAAAAATGCATATTATATACATCGTGTTGGTAAATATTTACTTACTTCAAACAAGCCTTAGAACCAGCATATTATATAGGTACACCGTTATTAGAGTATATTATGTTTTGCCTTTTGTACCCGTTTGGAATTCGGAATATTATATTATTAGCTAGCTGATTAATTTGTAACAAACGTTTGATCATAATATATTATGAACGTAGAGGTACAATCTCGTACTGCGCATTTCAAATCAAAACCACTGATGCAATAATTGTAGGTCGATCGTTTTCTAAACAGCAAATTAATTAATTTTAAATTATAATCTGCATAATTAAATATCCATATACTCATTACTCAAACAATACTGCAATTTCGAGTAAATATTTTAGACCAAAATCAATTATGCCATTTATCATGAATTCATGACTATTATTAATTAATAGTTAAAATGTATAATTTACACTACCAAAAGTATATAGGGTCATTACCTACTGATTTGCCAGAAATGCCCACCATGTGTTTAATAATAAAAGTTGTATTCAAATTTGGAATTACCGAATTTTCAAACAAGGGCAGGTACTTTCTTAAAAACTATATTTTTAAATACTTACAAATTTTTAACCCTAGGTATCTGTCTATAAAATATATTTAGTAAACTAGTAAATAACAAATAAAATTACCAATTAAATAACTGTATTTACATTTTTAGAAAAATAAAGCAAAAATTGAGCGGAGTAGTGGACCAACATTTTACAAGGTACCTACCCCTGCAAAACTAAACTCCGTCCATCGAAACTTGAAATATTTATCTGATAAATCACTCGTCCAAAATGCGATTTTTATATAAAGAAGTACTACAAAAATGTTCTCCTTCGGATAACGAATTAAAAATGAATGTTAATTAAATATGATACAAAATTAAAAAAATTATAACATTAAAAACATAAATAATAGTTTTGTAACGATCTAAAATTAAAATTTCAAAAAACCTTGAAATAATGAGTGTGTCGCGTTAAACGTATCACCCTATGTATGGATCAATTGCGCATATTGCATTTAGGTAAGGTGAGCATCCATGTGGTCAGGATGCGGAAAAACGAGACCAAATAATACTAGATATACAAGTTGTTACTAGCCTGGACATTATCTTCAGAAGATGTGTGATAATTTCTCGTGGTGTGATAGTCGTGGGAAATTGTATTCATAATACAATGTTTATAACACTCGTACTTAAAATATCTAAATAATTTATTATTACCTGTATCGTATTCGTTGTTTCGTATGTATTTGCTCCAATTTCAAATTTAGTATATCGGTACGACAGAACCTGCAAGTAGGTAAATTACATAATATATATATATACATATCATATATTTTACCAACTACTATATTAACATGTAGTATATATTAATTACAAAATAAGTCATACATATATAGCCTACTGTTTCGGCCGTTTCGGGTTGTTTAACCACAGGCGCGCCGCCCGCTAACGATGATTACTTTGGTCTTTGAGTGTCATTGCAGCAGAGCGAAATATGTAACCACTGCCCATGTTTAGGTATCTACCTAGGTATATAATATATATATTGAAATTACTCCGAGGAGGAGTGAGCACCGCCGCTCACGTGTACACTGCACATTTTTATATACTTTTGATAAAGTATGAGTATACAATATATAATATTATATTATAATTTATAACTATTATATTATAGCTACAAGTTACAACATTACAATATAATAAGATATATTATGTGTTGCATTATTGTTCGACATCAAAGAAAACAGCTAAATGTGGCATCGTGTGTGTTTGTGTGTATGGTGAACCTATATAATATTACTATATATAAGCGCGTGCGTTGTGTTAAGTTCTGAACAAATTGTTGTATACGTGCCAATTACATTGGGTTTACACTCGTGTGTATGATATAATGATAACAATAGAACTCGAAAGCGTTCCTCGCCAAAAAGTAAAACTGTTTTGTCATAACATAGGTAATAATAATAATAATAATAATAATAAAAATAATAATAATAATAGTTATAATAATAATAACAATGTGTGATAAAGTATTGCAAAACAAAGATGAGATAAATGAAAAAACTTGTTTGTAGCTCTTAAGTGGGTAATAGGTATAATAATTTTTTTTTTTTAAATAGGATTTCATTTGTATATTATAGTTTATAATTATCACTCTTATATTTAATATCACTTACAAGGTACAGTAGTTTAAAATGCAATGTTATTGCGAATAATTATCGTGAAGTCAATAAACAACAAAAAAATTAAATGTTGCCTCTAATGCTTTTAGCCATAAGAAAAAATATTAAATTAACTCAGTTAAAACTTATAATAAGTCATTTAAAATATTTTTTATAAAAAACAATAAATCTATTTATTCAACACTCACATAACGATGCACATTTTCACTTCATATTTAGATGACTAAAACTGTTATTATTGAGCTATTATAGTATTAATTTAGTACCTACTTAAGTAAAATATAAAAAAATTTAAATGCTCTTAACTCACTTAAAAAATATAACATCATAAAAACAAAGGAAAAATATTGATAGTATTCTTAACTTTAAGTTTTATCATAGCTCAATTCCCACTCTAATATTAAAACTAACAACACACAATTTGTTCTAATAATGAACATAAATTTGTTACGCCTTACACATTTGTAACCTAACCTAAGAGGAAACACGTCATGCGGGTGTGGCGTTCTCTAAATCTATAAATAATAATCGCTTAATTTGTATGCGATATTGCGATCTTATAATTCCACCGTAGTATCTTAAACTTTAAACGATATAAAAAAAATTATAAATTATGAACTTTGAAAATATCAAAATTTTGCTATTACAGATGGAAACTTATAACGAAGTATCTATATGGGAATC